TGAAAGGGATGAACAGAGCCTCGACACTCAGCGCGTTGCGGAGCTACGGAAGCGTTTCTCGAGTCATCTGTGGCATGCGGGGACCACTTTTCACGTTTTCTCTCGTATAAAATTTATTCACATTCTTCCATTTTGTGCGGTGCCAGTGCAAGGGCTAGTAAGGTGCCAAGGCGAGGGGGGCCTGCCAAACCGCGCAGGTGCCAGGGCGATGCTGCAAAGTTGGTGTGAGCGGAGCAAAGCTGTGGCGCTATATTTGCCATGGCTGTGCTGTCCTCTGCGCGCTCCTGCTGCAAGTGTTTGTGCTTGTGGCTGAAGTCTGCGCCTCAGCATATCTACCTGTGACTTTTCTGTGTTGCATACGTAAGGATTATGAGGGGAAATCTCATCCTCACAAAACTTTTATTTATGCACCTCTGCAGGACATGGGTAAGAGAGTGAGTTTGAGTCCTGGGATTTCCTTGGTTCTGATCAGATTCTGTATGTATGCCAGTGACACTGTACTTTGAGCCTTGTCTGGAACGGTTGACTTGTTTAAGCCATTTATTGCTATAAAAAAGTGTAAGCTATAAACACTTGATATAGTAAGTGTAAGTGGAAATACTGGCTTACACTATAACTGCTGATACTTACTGGTGTCATTAGGAAAAGAAATCTTAAGATTTTTTTTGTGAAGAATGAAGAGAATGTTGAGGCTTTTCCCCTCAATGACAATGGTCAGAATGACGGCTGTGAGCAAGAAATACAAGTTCCAAGTACAAGTTTTCATTTAAAGAAACAAAAATAGAAAACACTGCAGTAAATGATACTCAAGGCTATTGATTTTGAAGTTGTGGACAAGCTAGTATAAACTAGAGATTACTTGAAGACGGAAATTATAGATGTGTTCAAGTTGCAATTCGAAATGTGAGATGCTGTAATTTGCTACATGTCAATCAGATGTTTTTATTTTATTTCTTACAAGACATTTAGAGAAATTATGATAACACTGTAGTTTGAGAGTTGGTTGTGCTTCATAGCAACTTTCTGTCAAAGCACAAAGATTGCCTCAGTTGTTCTAGGGGAAGCTTGTTCTTTTTCATGAACACTATTATATACCTTTTAAATTTCCTGTTAAGTGTTTGTATTTAGAGGATGAGCTAAGTCTTTCTCTCTGTTTGCATGTTAGTTTATGAGGTTTTTTTAATGAGCTTTTTCTGTCAAAATACAAATAAGGCGGGTAGATGTCAAAACAAATGACATAACACTTACATGAAAGTGTGATCTATTTTGTAGCCTTAAATTGGAATGTGAGAAACTGGCAAGCGAAAAGACAGAAATGCAGAGGCACTATGTGATGGTAAGTACTTAAGTACCTTTTTTTTTTCTCCCTTTATTGCTGTAAATATCTTATAATATAACTGTTAGCTGACATGAGAAAGTAATTATATTTCTTAATTTGCAGTATTATGAAATGTCATATGGATTAAACATTGAAATGCACAAACAGGTAAGGCATTTCATTTTCTAAAGTGCAAAATATGTAGTATGTCTAAATGTAAATCTTTGTATGTAAATGTAATGTAAATATAAGTAAATTTATATGTAAATATGTGAATGTAAATCTTTATTTCTATTTGAATGACAATATCATTCATCATGGAATGATTCGTAGCTGAGAACCTTTGCTTACCTACCGTCAAGTGAGATGTGCTTTAGTTTGAGCAACAGTCCTTTCTTAATGTTGGTTCTGCTTTACAGGGTTTTATTTTGTTGCTGATAGAGCCTTTGTTATGTAGAACCAGTCTTATATGTGCATAGCATATGTTGTGATAGTTGTTCCAATCATTGCCATTTAAAGGTATGAAAAGATTAGTGATTTGGAAAGCTCTAGTTATGACTATGAGTTTGCAAGTTCCCATAAAATTCACACTTACGGCCACTATAATGGTGAATAAAGAGAGTATTGAACTGGAACAAGACACTAAGGACCTCATAAGAGAAGAAAAGCTAAATGATTGCTCAGCCCAGAGGACTCTCAATTGAGTAGTCATTGTCTGCCAAAGAAAGCATTAATGGCAGGGTGTAAGTATTCTGTAGATATGCTGACATTCACTTTTTCATCAAGATGCTGGTACAATAAGTCTTTCAGAAATCGATGACCTCTTAAAAAAATTATCATTAGATGAAGTTGCACAGTTGGACACATTTCAAAGTGCAACAATACAATTCTTTCTTGATGTATATGTGCTATTTCATCTAAAACTCTTGTTACATTAAATTAAAGAGCATGGCTGACCAGCTAGGGCACAGCAAAGAAATTGATTAGTTCAGGCTTCAGATCTTCAGTATATTCAAAGACTTTCATTAAGCAAGTGAACTGCGGAGTTGAATTTTGCTTTCGTAACTCTGAACTCTTTGATTTTTTTTTTTATTTTTTTAGTTGCTTAATTTTTCTTCCCTCCCCTAAAAATACCTTATTTGTTAGACTCATGTTCTAATTCCATGATAATTTTATGTCTGGAAAGCTAGATAGATTACTGGTGTTTTTTTTTTTTTTTTTTTTTTTTTTTTGAGGTGGATGTTGTTGTGTTGTTTTAGAGATGTGTTTAAATTCAGAAATAATATGATTATATTGTTTTAAAGCAATGCACTGAAAAGGTAGACAGAACTACCTGAGTAGTGCTTGACCCGATTCTGTGCTGTCACTGCTGTAGTTTCTTTTGTCTTCTGGTTTAGAAAAATGCAGATTTTCTGTGAGGTGGCTTTTTCAGACTTAAAGATTTTTGAGTGGTATGTTGATGTGTATTTTTTCTTTCTTTCTTTTTTTTTTTTTTTCTGCTCTCCTAAATGCCTTTAAGGTTGACTTCAGCTTGTGAGGAAGTCAGCATCTGTATGGGTGGTCTCTTTTTGGTGCAAAGTTGATGCTTTATGATTTCATAAACTCTTTGAAGGGAGCATGGGACCTCCAAAAATGTACCAAGAATTAGGTACTTTAGGGTTAAAACACTTAAGTCCATGTCAATGTGTGTCAAAACTGAAGTTTCTACCATGACCTTATCTGTATATTACAAGGGTTTAATCTTATGTATGTGTGACAATTATAAATATGTACCCTATATGGAATGATAGTGTAGAGTCTTTGAAGAAGCATACTAGAGCTTTTTACCTACCTTAGTTCTAGCTGCGGAGAATTGAGAATAACTTAAGAGGAAAAAATTAAAAGGATAGATGAACTTCCCTGGATTTGAGTCTTAGGTACTATGCATTTGCATGTTAAGTTACTCTACTTTCTGATAGAATAACACCTTCACGTTAAAGAATATTGATTTAGATGAGGGTACCAAATGATTGTGTTACAATTCAATATATAGATGGTCTTAAAAAGAAACAAACAAAAAACCACAATGACATTCTTTTGAATTTCCAGTGTAAGTAGTAAGTTCTAAGGAGGCATTTGGTAGATAGTAATCATAATTCTTATTAAAACTGGTGATGTCTAGCCCCAAGGGTGTAGCCAGGCTCAAATTGATGCTTTTTGCTGGCTGATCACCAGCATGGCCTAAGTGCTCATTATGTTGTAGAGAGGGCCTTTGGAGCTCTTATTACGTTTGACAGGAATTCTCTCTAGGGGAAAACTGGGCATTAGCTAGACTCCTGACAGGCTGAAATTATTCCTGCTTTATGGCTTATAACCAAATGCTAGCAAGGCATCATCAGGGGACACGAAAAATTGTCATTTCTGACAACATCTTTGTTACTGAAAAACGCAATGATGGGGAAACTTTCCACTGAACGAGCTTTAACGATTCTAAGGCCGACCTCCTGTGTAGATGTGACACTTGCTGTATGTGAAGCCCTTAGAGTGGCTAGGCTGCTGTTTTCAAAACCAAAAAATTATACTCTACCCAGGTTACTTTATGCTGTGTGCTGTGCAGATCATTGTTAAAGTAGAGTTACTTGGATAAAATGATGTAATTGTCATTTGCCTTATTATGAAAGGGTTGATTTTATAATACTGATGGTGATTCCCTTTGCATTTAATTTGGCAATCTGCTGTAATTTGACTGAAATAAAGTTAGTTAGGACTTTAATGTTGCTATAAACAGACTTAATTGAGGTGAACTTTCCATATGCAAACAGCTGCATTACAGAGCTTTCCACTTGAATATATAGCATTTGAGTTGAGAAATAGCTGTGTTATGGTGTTCCTTCACAGCTTTAAATGTACAACTTTGCTGTGTTTAATTGCATAAATCCAGACAGTCTTGCTGCATTTTACCCTGGTATCTGAATAATAATCAGGGAATAAATAATCTTTTGGCTCTTTTTTTAAAGATTTCAGAGGTCTAATGAGGCCGCTATGTGTGCATTATTTTACTGTTTATAGTCATTTACTTTTTATACCTGAATAGCTAGTAATATTTCCAAGCCCAAAACAAACATCTGAAGATATTTAGCATAGGTACATGTGATTCAGAAATTCAGATGCCATTTTCATTTGCATCAACAAATCATGAAGAATAGGGACATTTTGTGTGGTTTTAAGTTCCCCTTCTGCACTATTCTGTCCTAGTCAGATCTTCCCATTCTGACAGCCATTGGCTAGCAAAGCAGTTGATATAACTTTTAGTGCCAAGACATTGAGCCTAGGGTGTTAAAAATCCTGCTGTATGTCAGGGTGGCTGCCCTTAGCTATAAGGCCTGTGCCTCTTTATTTTCACCAACAATTTCTGTAATCTTCTGTCATAAGACAGAAAATAAGATTTTATGTGTGTTTAATGCACAGATTGTTTAGGTCCAAGATTAGCTTTTGTTCAGTGGCAGGCAGCCAAAGAAAGAAAAATATCATTGTTGCTGAACCAACTGACAGACTATATAAACTACTACATTATTTGTTTTTACTATCCTGAAAGTGACAAGTGGATCTTTTCTACTTTGGATGGATTAGTGATCTTTGTGAACTACCTTAAGGCAGTCCTGATATTCAGTACCATACATCTTCTAGAAAGTACTAATAAAACAAACTCCTAAATGGTATTATGACAACCACTCATCTGAGAGTTAGATACCTGTTTAACTTGGACCATTTTGTAGAATCATTTCTAATGCGTTACAGGCAAGGTCCAAGTTTTCTGCTGGTATCTTGTTAGAGTATCAGTCTCTAGGAAAACGGGTTAAATAGATAGGAATTAAGAAGCATAGTTACCTTTCTATATCTCTTTAGCACTATTTTCCCTAGTAGATTTTTGGGGGGCTTTTTTCTGCTTGTATTTTAATTATTGTAATGAAAAACTATATTAATTCTAGGGTTTTGATGGGTAATGAGTGTGTCAAGAGGCTTTTGTAGTTGACTTTTGCCTGTTAAGATGTGCATGCCATGACTGTTTGTTTGTTTGTTTCAAAGGGCAAATGATAAGATTGATTGGGATGTAATATTTTCCCTCAATTTACTGTACAAATATTCGTTTTCTAAATGACTACAGGTGGACTACCAATACTGCTATTACAACCACAAATATAGTTGCCAGTTCGAGCAAAGAGCTGAGTAATGAGCTCAACTTTCTCATTTTTGAACAACATTTAAATTCGAGACTGATATCATTAGAGAGCTCTCTGATAGATCCAGGGAACTGCAGAAAATGTGTCTCAATGTGACTTTTGGATACTATCTGGCAATATGGCTATCCATTGTATTGGGTTTTGAGTTCACTTATGTGACTATATGACTTAAGGAGTGCATCGTAGTATATTGTACATATGCTAAATAATACTTGATTATCTTGCATTGTACATGTGTTTTGCCAGATTTCAGGTGTTATTATAGAACTGTCAGTGGTGGTGGTGGTGCATTCCTACCTGCTGTGCTGCCAAAGTTATCCAGCATAGATGGAATGTAACAGCCACAAAAGTCTCTATGGGCATGCATACTTTTATATGCATTGGGCAGAAAGGTTTGTGGATGTGTTTTGGGTGAGACATATGTGAGAATTTGGGTGAGAATATGTGAGAAGGGCACTTTGTGAGTACTTCTTTGACAACATAGCTCTGGAAAAAACTTACTGTTTCTCTTTTTACTAGTTGCTCAGCCTGTCAGGTTTGATTTGGTGTAAGCTTTCATTGCTAAGTTGCCTTAGTGAATTTGTCCTGCTCCAGCAGTTAAGTAGCTGTAGTAAGGGTATAAAATTACATTGTACCTCTTGTGGAAAATAGAGAATAGAGTCTTCTAGGTTTGTTGGTAGGTTGTCACTGATAAACAGGGAAAGCCTTCTTTGTGGTTAGCTGGTACTTACCAAAAGACTATATTATCTTAAAAGTGATAGCAGCTTTAAGTAGAGCTAATGATGTCATCTTTCCATGCAGTATAAAATTGGGAATATCTAATTACAATTATGTCAATAAATGCTACTGTTTGCATCTTTTATATCACAGTCTTTGTAGCTGTTTGAGCCATGGTAGTTGCTCACATATTTCATTTCAGAAAGGAAAAGACAACAGCTAATATCATTC